TGCAAGCATGCTTCAAGGCAATAACTGGTCACTCTCAAACTGCCATTAATTGCACGATTAAAAGCAAAGAATGTCTCTTCGAGTGCAGCCGGCGTTTAGCTCTGATGCACAACAGCTCTCTAATGCAGTGGGACATACCTTTATACATTGCTATATCTATCTGTGGTAAAGTGCCTTTAAGGAGATTTCTGGATCTAATGCAATTGAACTGTCTTTAATATCTTGTACATTTGAAACTATCATCATTTGCTTAATCATTAATTACAGCTATTAGAATCCACTACTTGTGAGCTCTGGATATTTATTAGCTGAGTAAAATATTTCAGTAAACTACAGGATTATAATATATAGTGAATATTTTCTGATACAGTGCTTTTGAAAGAAAGCATTATTTGCTATGAAGAGAAAATAACGCAAGAGTAAACGTGATCAGTAATATATATAGCAAATGGAGAAACTTAAAATTTCGGTATAATATCACATGTACAGAGATCTTTACAAACAAAATAAATAGAAACTTGCACATCTTATATTATTCTATATATGTCACCGTTTATCTGTTCAGTCAGTTAAAGTGTACATTCACTGATTGAACAGATAAACGGTGACATATATATAACTACAAATTAATTTTATTGGCGATATATACGAATATCTTTTTATTTGTAAATGCCTGTCTAACATAACCTTAAGATTCGTAATTTATATAGCAAACATGGACTTTGTTAGATCAGTCTCGATAAATATTTTACTTTAAGCTATCCGTATGCTAATATATATCCTTTAGATATTTGTATACTCTACAGTGTATGTTAATGTCCTATTCTGTTTTGTTAACGGTAGACATTCATAGCTTCATTAGTAGCCGTACTCTAGCTCTGAATAATAATCAACAGTAATATCTTTGCGAATATTTACAGCTGCTCTCAAATTAGGCTTATGTACAACAATTCTCGATATCCGCCTTCACAAAAAAATACAGATAGAATACTGCTGCATAATTTCAGTTAAAATAATACAAATCTTTCAGTTAGCACTGGTGGCAGCAACCTTTTCATTACCATTGGCTTGTAACATATCCAAAACTTGCTTAATCAATTTATTGGTTTCAGAATGATTCGAATAGCTAATCATTTTAATGTCTGACTTTACATCTTCGATTGATTCTTTTAGTAGACTTATTCTACAAAATAATTTTAAAACATTAATTGTAATATAATTAGCATGATGTTTAACAGCATAATTCTTACTCTGTTTGTTGCCTTAGAACGAAAGCGTTTAAACTTCTCCAATCAAATTCTGGATTAACATGATCTTTTTCTTCTTGAATCATTGCTATATTATCGGTTAAAGAATGCCAAGTTTGCTAAATAGTGTTAAGAAGAATAAATTTTACTTTAAAACTTTTCTAGAAGATTGCTTTCAATAGCATACGGCTCTTGTATGCTTCACACACAATCTGATTATTTTCGATGGCACCCTTTCGTTAAAAAATCGAAGTTATATTCCGTTCAAATTCCTCTATAATATTTATTTATACCCGTAAAAGGATATCTCCAAATAGTTTTGGCCTGATTTAACTTACACAATTATATTTTTCAGGGTGCCATCGAAATTAATCCGACTCAAAATTAAAATGATTTTCTTTGCTTCCTTATAAAGATATCTATATCGCTTAGTCTATTTTACCTTTTGCAAATAACTCGAATTTTTATCTTTTCTGACGATTAATCCTGGACTATACAAAATCTTCCTCAGATATATTGAATATGATTCGTAAATTCCAATAAGTGACTCATATTGACTTTTAGCTAGGTTTAAACTAGCGGTTTCCCTGACTTCGTTAATATCACCTACCGCAAGACCAATCTAAGTCATTTCCAATATGTTTTGTTAGATTAGAAATGTTCAAATTAATTAATATACTTCAAAAGTATAGTGCATCTACTTAATATCTAAATCAGTTGACAACTTTTCTGCCAAGTCAAAATCAATAACTCTGGGGCTATTCATGATAGCAATCAAATATTTTAAATCAAATAGCAATCTCTAAGACTGAAAGTTAAAACCTATTATAAATTTAAATAATTTTATGGTAAATATGAATAATTCATGGTTACGGCTATAACGTATCGATATAATTATTTGAAAGTTTGAATAAAGATTCATGTAGGATATTTATATAGCAATGCCGAAAAATCACCATTATAACTTAATTAATCAAATATATTATCTGCATTTTTCATTTCTTTCTCGATAACTGCTACAATAACTCTATTAATAATTAATTAAACTATACCCAATCTTTAAAATCTTACCAGTAAATTTGAAAATGCGATATTAATAATAATAACCATGGCTGCAAATAATATTAATTCTATTTTAAATCCCGTGAGTCTTCCAGTATTAAATAACTGATGGAAGTTGTTAGCATAATTAAGCTCTCCGGCAGACATGGTCAATACAGTGACTAATGCAGCATCAAATTGTCTGAATGTTGCCTGTATTTGTAAAATTAAATTAAATAGAAGATGAAACTAAGACAATATGCGATCGGTTAAGCAAAGTAGTATTTTTAAACTATATGATTAACTACTTCAATAAGAAATACAATAAAGCTAAAAATTGATTTTAATACATATATGGGTGCTAGTTGAGACCTCCTTACCTCATCATTTAATATTATTGCAAAAGCCCCAGCAAATGCCACAAGTAACAGTATAAAAACAACTGAAACTCTGATGATGGTCGTAATGGTAGTAATAAGCATCGAAATATACAGACCTAATCTGGAAAAACTAGTAAAATGTATTTAAATATTAGCTTACGGTATGCCATGATAATCTGATATATGACATCTCTTGATTCAATCTATTAAATCGTTCGTGCCCGCAAAATTGATTCACCGTTTTAATTATAATCGGGTTTGATAAAGAGCTTTTCTAATGAAATTGGAACATATAAACTGCTTTATCTATATTTTCGATTATGTAAATAGGTTATGCTGTTATACTGCACACAATTTCTAACAGTGCAGTATTTAAAATATACCATCCTAACTATCTTTGCTATGGTATGAGATTTTCATTAGTATTTTAGTTCAGTTTTCATATTGAAGTCTAATTAAAATAGTAATCCATCTTGATTTAACAAAAGTAGTACACTCAGTTATGCATAAGCTTTGCAGTATATAAGTCTATAGAACAGGTTATAAATAAAATATTTATCTAAATGTATTTTGTGATATATTATGACCGATCATAATTATCGACCGTTATCTAATTTGTGAAAATGTTATCGCGTAAGTTGATATTTGTAAGGTGCCGTTACAAGATCGATATTTCTGTTCAGCTGTACAGCGGTGAGAACAAAAAAATTTTATTTTAATACTCTAGTTGTACTGGATACGCTGAGAGATTTCTAGCAGTTCTTCCTTGTTTAAAGTAAAGGAGTTTCCATAATGCAACAATCTTACATATCTACGTGATCCTTAAATTAGTCTTGCCTTCTTATTATGAATATAACGTTGATAAATAAGCAAAGAATAAGAAGTGCTCCAATCCGGAGATTTTCGTAATCGATGGGCTTATTGAACGGTAGAGCATAAAGCAATCCAAGAACTGCCATAAACAGTTCAAACATAGTTTGCTTTATAAAACGGAGAATGATTCGCCTCTATAGTTAAAAGGATTAGCAACAGGATCTCATCAATATATGTTATTAGAACAATTGGTTTCAGCGTTTTCACTTTTTCAATTCTTTATTTTAGGTCTTTGTCACAATTACTAACTTTAACATCCATCTACAACAATGGAAATGAGTCTGATGTTATAGTTAGTATAAATCAGACCAAGTATATTGGTGTCACGTTCTGTGATAGTTCCATAATTAGTATGTTACCTTCTTTCTATATATGGTTAAATATCACGATGTTATTATCACGTCATGCGTATATAGATGTAGTTATGGTACTATATTAAGCTTATCTATATATGTATTCTCATGTTGCCATACTCGGTATGATATTCTATTTGTAATGTCTAAACTAGGGAAACCTCTCTCTTAGTGATGATCTTGTGATCTACTGGCGTAGATCAAAGGTCACAATAAAGAAAGTATATAAACTCATTATTTTAACAATAAAGTTAGTTCTTCAACTTAATTACTGGGCCTCCTTGCTGAGTGCAGATCTAGTACTTGTTATAAAAATTTGGAAGTTGTAACAATTGGTCAATACAGTACTTACCCCGGATGCAAGAATATAGCTAAAACCACAAATCATAATCATAACCGTA